AACTTACGCCGCACAAGAAAGTTAAAGCAGTGAGTGGCGTCAATGTCAATGCCATTAGTTTGGTGGAAATTGTGAATAATTTATGCACGCAGAGATGAAACTTAAATTCCGAACTGCGTCACTTGGTCTGACGTACCAGATTATGCCTGATATTGTACTAAATGAGCTGCTGTGGGAGGCCTTTGCTAGTTTTTAAACGCACAGAAAAATTACATGCAAACATTTTAAATTTTGTCTCGACTTGCTTTTTAAACTAAACAACTCGTAGTTGTTTGCAAATAAAACCCATTAGTTAGGCAGTTGTGCAATTAGTTAAACTACGCTTTAGCAATACTTCACTGATATACAAAAAATCGTATGTACATACATACATACATATGCACACGTAGGTATGTAACGAATATAACGAATTGATGTGCTATATCATCATTATGGTTATTTATTTGTCTCATTGAATAGTGCAAAGTAATTGTTTAGTAGGAAATTAGCTACATCCACATACACACACATATACAGTAATATGTATATTTGACGTGTCGACTGAATATCGCTAGCTTATAGCGGTACATTTATTCTATATTCTTCTATTGTGATACTTTTTCAAATAACTTAGCCCCTGAACTCAATTTGAGATTTAAAAGAAGTGACAACCCCTTAGTTTAGAAATGAAGCCCTTTCGAAACCATTACGATTGATACCCCTTATTGCAATACTTCATTGAATATTTATAATTTAAGCTTTCAAATAGTTGGCAACCTTTTTAAACCGCTTTCGTCTGATACTCATACTGTGATACACACGTATGTATTCATATTACCTAATTCCTATAATTCAAGTTGAACTTTAATTTTCAAATATGTGGAAACCCTGCTATACTTATATATGTAGCTTAGAAAAAAAACCAAGATTCTTTCGTTCAATACCTATATGTACTGTAATAACTCATCTAACTTATAATATAATTGTGTTTGAAATTAGGTTTAAAACAGGTATTACGTTTGATACTTTAATTTAAGTATAATTAATTTGATTCGACTGTTAAAATAGGTGGAAACCCTCTCCAAAATATTTTCAAACTAAAAACTTATTGAAACCCCTTTGGCCTAACACCCATATTGTGATACATATTCCAATTACCTAATTCCTTTAATTCAATCAGAATTTGATTTTTCAAACAGTATATTGTATTAATTTATTTAAAGAGGATTTAAGAGGAGAAACATTATGAACATAAGCCCTACATACATTTGCACTCCTACGGCAAGTACGCATCGGCTAAGAAAAACAGTTTTTATATAAAATGCCATACACTGTTTAATTGTTTATTAAGTAATCGGTCACATTGCCTATTGTGCTAATGTTGTGCGAGATGTCGTCATTACTTATGACTTTATCAAAGTCATGCCATGGAAAATAACAGGGCAATTTGCTAATAAATACAAATGGAAAACTAGAAAAGCAACAAATTGCATTGCGCCGAACAAAGAAGATTGAGAATAAAGAAACTTGTTGGAAAAGCGTAGCGTGACGCAAAATTTTATTACTTCCATTAAGTCAACATTACAGAACGTTTCGAATAGAGGATTTAAGAAAACTTATCTGAAATAAGTTTTCAGGGAACGAGCAAATAACTAGCCAGTTACTTTGCTCATTTCTTATTTGATGTTAAATGAGCAATTTCTGTTTTACGGTCGAACATAAGTCACAGCAAGCGAAGAGTTTATCTAGTAAATAAATCACTATTACCCCATCAGAACTTAACTTTCAATTTTATATAAACAACTCTTCAACTTCCGCACATAGAATCTGTGGGGATCGGACTTTTTGCCTGGTTGAGAAATTGATTCCACTTGGCTTAAGAATAATCCATCCTTTTCTCGCTTCGATGCTGAAATTAAACTACAACTAAAACAAGGAATTATTTTTTGCATTATCATTCGACTACATATTCATAAATGTATGTACATTAGGGCGGTCCAAAAAGGCATGTAAAAAAAAAGTAAAGTCGGATTTTTTTTGCTCTCACCCCCTAGAATTGTTCTATATTGAAAAAAGTATACCCCTATTTTTTTATTTTAAAATAAAAAAATATTTAAAGGTCGCTCAAAGCGCTCAAAGTTTTCCATGTATTTTGTATGGGAAAATAAGAACTTCTCGTGGAAATGGTATGGAATTCTTGAAAATCAATATTTTTCGATCGTAAGATTGTGTTTCTCTTCAACAGATTCCCAATAATAAAACCCAATTATTTTTTAACAATTTCTTCTTAGCAACTATATTTTATAGGACCGCCCCAACCCCTAGAAAATGCCAGAAAATGCAATGGGGGATAAATAAAAAATCTTCATTATTGAAAGATGGTTAAATAAATAATTGGGTATTGTTATTGGAAGTCTCCTGAAGAGAACCAGAGTTTTCCAATCGAAAAATATTGATTTTCAAGAATTCCATACCATTTCCACGAAAAGTTGTTTTTTCCCATACAAATTACATGGAAAAGTTGGAGCGCTTTGAGCGATCTCTAAATATTTTTTGATTTCAAAACAAAAAAAAAAAAACAGGGGTATACTTTTTTCGATATAGAACAATCCTAGGGGGTGACAGCATTAAAATTCCGACTTTACTTATTTTAAACCACCCTAATGTAGGTACATTGGTATTCGTATGTTTTATTTACTTGTACGAAATGTTTTGGCCCTAATGAAAATACGTATACATATATGTATGCATGTATGTACTAAATTTATTGTGTTCATGAAGGCATACTTTTTCTTAGAAATATTATTGCTATTCGTATAGTTATGTGCATACATACATATATGTATATTCATGTACATCCGCAACGATTAAAAATTTGTTTGTGAGACATACTAGACATACATACAAGCGCAATGCATGCATACATTTGTATACGACTGAAAACATACGATAGGTATTCTAAAAGTTGGCGAAAAACATACCAAAACAAAAAGCAATAAAAAATATAAACAAAATACAAATCGCGCAATGATGAGCTGCAAGAAAACATAAACAGGCAGTTAAAGAGGCCAAAACAAAAGTAAATTGTTGGTGTTGGTGGGTTAGTCGGTGTTGCAGGGGCGTATGAGTGATTATTGAAAGTGGTTTTCGCACATAATCTTCAAAAGAGGCACAACTCAAACATATAACTGCTTGTGGATCGTACAGATTCAACACGTAGAAAAATTTATTTGCATTAATTGGAGATAATTCCTACGAATTGATTTACGCAAATATTTTTGAGTTGTGCCCATTTTGAAGACGGTGTGCGAAATGTACTCTGAAATTTTAAAAGTTTCTCATATCTTTTATTTATTTAACGTTTATAGTTTTTTTATAAAAGAATAGCTTACCATTCAACCAAAACCATGTAAATTTAAATTTACTAACTATGTGCAAGGTTTCTAAAAATTTCACCTATTTCAACAAATGTGCATCACTTTTTATTCGGAATTTTTAAAAAAAGTTTGAAGTAACTAGAACTTATAGTTCATTTTGGATTTTTTTTTGTGGATGGTATTGTGAATTTTCCTCCATATAAAAAAGTTGTCGAACATACTTTGTCAAAATTTCCAAATTTTTTTTACAAAGTTTGAAATTCGGAATTACATGGGTTTAGGTAGATAGTGAGCCATACTTTAATAAAACAATAAGAAACACCAAATAAGCAGAGGCAAAATAACCAAAACTAGGTAAAATTTCGTGCCCCTATTTATTCTTCAACCACTGTACGTGTTGCCACCTAACCTTAAATATAAAGGTTTTTATTTTTTAAGTGATGGAAATCTCAAGATATCATACTCAGGGCATGTTCTGCAAATCTGCAAACCCCAGCGAAAAATATAAAATAAAATTTATATGGATCGAAAATATTCTTTAAAGCTTGCTACATAGCTTAACTTAGTGTTTTAAAAGTTATCAAATCATCTATGATTACCAAAGGAAAAATTTCGTAAACATAATGAAGTATTTTTTTTTGGAAATAGTTGCCGGTTTATTTTAAATATGAAATATTTTTTTCGTTTTTTAAATTTTCAACATTTTGGATTTTATTAAGGAAAAAAAAGACCGGTTTGTCTGCAAACGAAAAAAAAAGAGCTTAAAGCGTTGTTTTTTTTTTGTAAAAATAATGGGTAATATTTCTCGGTAAATGGTCGGAATCAATATTGAGCCAGTCGAACGGTATCACATCGGCCCACTTAAGTTCTAAGTGCAGCCTTCGCAACCTAACCTAAACATTGTACGAAAGTAGGTTTTTAGGAGGCTTTTCTAAAAATACTAACTTAAGATTTGTCCTTATTTGTAACTGCCCTAATACAAAATGTAGCCTGGCAACTCTGTTGGCATATTTTGGTATTCCTTCGGTTTTATGAACTGACCACCCTCACCCTATCATCCTATCACCCTATCACAACATATCAACTTCGGATTTTTTATTGTTTTGCAACTCGAGCGCCAACAACGACAATTAATGACACCAACGACAACGGCAACTTTATATTTCCGCTGTGTCTCAACCGCTTTTTGTGCACACAATCAATGTCAATTTCCTCTCTTTCGCCCGTCAAACAGCAGCAAAAACAATGCGACATACACACACACCCTCGCGCGACAACAAACCAAAGAATGCTTAAAGTAACAAAGCTCAGAATTATTTGTTAACACACCGCACAACCAACCAGTTTACTTAGCTTCCCAAACGTGCGCACGTTTCAGGTACACGTGAGCCGAGCAGGCGCATCGCCAGCGCCGCAGAACGTTTTCCATAACGTGCCGCAAGTTGAAGTGGGATAGAAAATGAGTAAACTTGGCACTCGGATACGATTGAATAAGCAGCTGGTGAAAAGCTTTCTCAACCTGGGGTCGCTAGCTATGCCGCACTATGGGTGCAAGCGTGTGTGTTTGCTAAATGGGAAGCTATTCTACTCGCAGAAGCTTTATTATACCGGGGCTGTGAGAACGTTGCGCGCTGACCGTTTTCGCTTTGGCTCATGCAAGTGCATGTGAGCTCGAAAGCGAATGCAAATTTGCAGCGCCGCAAAGGCTTCGAGCGCCACAATGATAATTCACTACAACGCGAACTATCGCCGCAGACGGATGTACGTGCGCGTGCAAAAGTCGAAAATATTCTGAAAAAATAATTTTCAAATATCTCACAAGTATAGCAATTGATTTAAGGGAGAAAGAACCCCAAGCTAAACTGCAATCGGTAGTGAAGTTACAGTTCTAGTTACGAGTTGTTCTACAGTTCAAATAAAAAGTTGTACTAAGCTCAAAACTCAGTTCAAAAACATTAGCAACAACGCTTTGAAATTTAAAGTACAAATTGATTAAGTGGAAAGGCTGAGAACATTTCACGATTCCGCGTGTGACGATGCATTGTAATTGAATCGCTGCTAGCTCGTCGATTTGTTGTGTAAGTGCTGGTGGCATGGTTGTGGTGGCGGCGGGGGCGGGGGCGTTGGCGATCAAAGTGGCAGAGGTAGTGAGTGTGGGTTAGCGCTTGAGAAATTGCATGGACGTTCTTGGCAAACGTTGAATCTCAAGAAAAATGCACTAAATATGAACTGAAGTGTTTGAAAAGTGATATAGGCCGCACTTCTAAAACATAATAAACAGAAGAAAGTTTAACACGAAATAGATATACAAACGTGTATGAAGTCAGTAAACTAAGCGAAATAAGTAATAAATAAAAAGGAAAAACAAAAAATTAATCACCTTGAAAAACTTTACAGCTCGCTTGAAATGTGTCATCGTTGCACTTTTATATAAGACCAACTTCAAACTGTAGATGTAAAAGTGAGAAAAAACAAGAACAACAACATATGTACATTAGGGTGCATCACTCTCCATACAAAAATAAAGGATTTATAAAATCATATTCAACAACTTTTATTGAGCTTGAGGCCGTTTTTAATGAAAACTCCTTGTGGAAAAGCAACAATAATTTGAAAAAAATTGTAGAATTGATAGCTATTTCGGAAATCACCACATTTCCTCATCAGACTTCTTTCAGTAGGATTCGAACCGACGATCACCACTGACTCAGCCAGTTGCCTACGCACTGTGCTAAGTTCGCCTTGTTAATTCTTGTTGCTTATTTCCACTATTTATTTATTTATTTTTTATTTATTTATTTACTTTAGTTAGTCTTTTAGGTAGTACATCAATCGAATTTAATAATTACAATGGAAATGTATGATAAAACGAAAATATTTCACCAGCCAATTTATTTATAAAATCTATTATAATTTAGGACTTTGGACAAAATATTGCGGACAAATATTAACTCTCTATCTATATATCTAAATTTTATAATTCTTCTGGAAAAACTGCAACTTTTTTTTTGGCGAGGCACTGTAATGTACGTACATACATATGTAAGTGTTGAAATAGAGTTATATCTGAAACAAAAATGCAAATGCAATTTAAATACTGAATGAGTAGTAGTAGAAGTCCTACCGTAATTATAGCACGAAAATGATTGTACAACTTTATACCACCTACAGAGTCGGCAAAAACGATTTTGCTTCGATAATAAAAAGCATTCAGAGTAAAGATTCAGTTGAAAGCTTTCAAAATACGGTTAAGATACTCGCTCCCATATATTTACTAACTATGTAGAGGGAATAAGTTTGACCATTGTTATGACTTTGTCAAAGAGTTCGGAAAAGTTGCTTTAAGCCTGCTTCTGTACGGACAATAATTAGAAATTATATAATTTCATTTTAAATTGCCCGAGAATACTAAGCCGGAGCATAATTTTATTAAAAAATTTTCATTATGGACTTTGTTGCAATCCTATTTTGCAACATAAAAAGCAAGTTTTGGTAAAATTTGGTAACTTCTGATTTAGTTTGAACTAAGCACTTTGCCAGATTTGTAGCTTCGTCGAAGACGCTTTTGAGCCAACTTTGGTTAAGCTCATATTAAGTGCTTTTCCATACATTGTGCACACGGCCCTCAGTCTGCTTACCCTATAGAGATAAACACCGGCTTGTCTAAGATAAATTTGATGTTATTGATCCTTTGACATCAGCATGCAACAGTACGGGTTACAGTACAGGCCTCTTTTGCTCTTTCCTCTTTTCCCAGATCCTCTCTTGATTTATTGGGGTTGGTTGATTATGCCAGCAGGCTATATTTTGGACAGAATTTCTTTCAACCTTATAAAGTTTGGGTTGTACCCAACACTTCTCCAATGTTGTGCGGCCTAATAATAAGGAAACGCCCAGGCAAGACTGACAACCTTTTAGCTTGCTTGACTTGACTGTTGCTGACTGTTGCTGTCACTAACGATGATGGTTAAATAGCGGTATTTCCGCTTCGCCGCTTCACCACTTTATGGCGAGAAGCTCAGCCCCTAGAACTAGTTGCAAAGTTTGCCGACTGCAAAGCTTTCGGTTGGTGGCGCGATTGTGAGACTGGATGTTGTGCCGAATGGGATGACTCTATCATTCGCTTCTATCGTCGATTTTAGTACAGAAATCTTGTTTTCAAAGCGGAATAAAAAAGTAGCACTGTCTGGTCCACAAAATCACCGGCGAAGTTTAACGAATTCGGTCCGCGTTGGTAACAAAAATTATGTTACCGGTTACTATCGCATAAGCAAGTAACAAAATATTTCCCCGTGAAATATGCAGCAGCAGAATTTCTTCAAAACTTCATAGCTGAATTACTCAATGGCTTAATACGTTACCAAGGTATATAGAATTGCGGTTAAAAAATTGGTGACAATTTTTGCTAACTAAATTTCTTGGTTACAAAATGTTTGGTAACAAGCAGAATAGGCAAGTTAGAGTGATTTTTTTATTTTATTTGAAAAGCTCTAGCATACTAGGTTAGTTAGACTGATTTTTTATTTTATTTGAAAAGCTCTTGAAATAAAGATTTAAAAGTTTCGAGCTTGTTACTACAAAAGTTGCTGCGGTTATCGAATACATTTCTGGTCTTGAAAGAAAAAAAAATATAAAAGCGCATTACAGTTGAGCGATCAAATGGAAAATTACAAAGTAAGCCACATAAAAAGGGGAAGGTAATTGCGAAAAGCTTTTGCTATCATGTTGAGACATAAAGTCTAGCTTTGTAGTAGAAAGTACAAATAAACTATAAAACATACAAGATTTCATAAAAAGCAACTATTTGCTTTAAATAAATCCATTAAATCGCAAAACAAATTGAATATTAGTACTCAAGTCGAATAGGAATGAAATAATGCAACCTTTGCTTCGCATGTCGTCACAGAGCTTTTAGCTCCCACCGTCAACACAACGAATGAATCACGAGTACAACCACGGTATTGCTCTCATTCTGCAATCACTATATATGAAGTACTATATATATGAGTATGCTAATCATTATTCTAATTTACATATATCTGAATAGAACCTAGTATTCGCTGAATGAACATTTAAAGTTGCGTTTACGCGGCAAAACAAAGAAACAAGCGAAAAAAACAAATTGAATCAAGAAAAATAGACCGAAATTGAAAGCGGACTGAAAAAATCAACGTTTTGAATTATCCAATCAAAGATTGACAAAAGTACAAACAAAAGTGAATCGAAGGAGCGTGATAATAGTATTTGCAACAACGGTAAGTGGCACAACGCATATATGTATGTACATATTTCATTTAAATGCATCTCATTCGAAAATCAAATACATCCGTTCACGTTTACCGTGGGACAAATAGGGATTGTGAAAAGCAAATATTTTGCTTGCATTGCAACCAGGGTTGTCACTTTGGTAAATTATTACCAAAATTTGTAGAAAAAAATTGGATTGGGTTTTTTTTACATTTTGGTACGTTTTTGTTTAAGTATTTTGTTTGAAAAAGAAATAAAACATTTCGTTCCTAATTTATTTTTCGTACTTATCTTTATATGTATTATAAATTTCTTTCCAAAAGTGTAGTATACTATATTGCATTAATTTTCATTTTATTGGAATCCTGAGGATCTTTTGATTGCATAAATATTTTAAACAATGCTTTAAATAAAAAGAAAAAAATAAAAATAAATAGAAAAATCAATGCCAGTTTTTATAAATGGCAATTGTTAAATGAAAAAAAAGCACAAAAGCCTGGCGACAAAGATGTTTAAGAATCAACTGGAGTTTTTAGCTAAAAATTGTTGGATATACTAAAATTCCATGGGCTATAAAAATGCACACCCCAAAATTGTTCTAAAAATTGTGTGTAAAAAGTTCGAAAATTAGAAAACATTTTCTGTTTTAGTTTTTCTAAATGTTGTATGCAGCTAGAATTCTTGTTTTTTATGCGCAAACAGTATTCTTATATCAAAAAATAGTAAATAGTAAAATTTTTACTTGAAAAACATTGTGACTTAAAAAATATCCCGAAGTGGGTTTTTAAGTCACTGTATTTGTCTATAGTAACTTCAGTTGTGGTTTGATGAAAATTCGTTGTTGCTTTTAGTTTGGCTGAGGGAAAGTGAGAAGATGCCATTAATGTGATATCAAATACCGTAAAATTAGTTAAATAAAAAGTTCCTTAATAAAAATTTTAAATTTTATTGAAATAACTAAACATTAGAACAAAACCATAGTTTTTACTAAAATAACTATACAAAAAATGTCATTGGTAGATGTTTTCCAGATTTGGTAGATTTTTTTCAAGTGGATGGTAGTATTTTTTTCGTCAGCGGCAACCCTGGAGGCAACACAGACTAGAGTATTAGCGCTGTTAGAGTAGAACTGCTTAGAGAAGAACTCTACACCACGCTTTTTAGGCTTTCAGCGCATGTAAGAAATAGAGAATTCTTGTTCATATATATATATACATATGTATATATGTACACTTGCGTAACGAATCTATCTTTCGCCAACTCAAAATCATCAGAATTTCAAATTATTGAAAAATGGCATACAGCAAAACTTTACTTACAAAAGCTTTTGAAACACCTCTGGAAAGAAGCTAGACTTTTTGAATTGAAACGAAATAGAATGAATGAATGAATCGATGAAAGCTACATTAAATATAGCAACGTGAAATCTATTTATTACATATGTATGTATTTACATCACACAATGCATAGTATGTGCAAACATGCAAGCAAAACTTTATTTCTATGAAAGAACTACTCCACTATGTTCGAGGTATTCAAGTTGTGCAGATAATTTGTTATTCAAATCTTGACTTAAAAACTTGTTATATACTTATATTTGGGTATATCAAGAAAACAGTGGTACAGTTACCCCATCAGAGCATTGAGCATTAACCAAAGATTCCTTGAAAATTGATTAGTTGTCGACTATTCTCTTACGGGAACAATTAGTTATGTATAGTATTTGTAAGCTCTACTATTATAGTCCTAATGAATTATACAATTTTTCTTCTTAGAAGCATCTATGGATCAAAATCAGGGAGGTGGAGAAATTAGTTGCTGTGGAAACAAACATTTTAATTTTATTATTAAATTGATTTACACTGTTATGAATTGGATTAGGTCGTCGCCAATTTAGTTTATGGCAGGGTAGAGCACGAACTGGCATATTTCTGAATTTAACTCGAAACGTATTGAATGATGAACTAGAAAGTCATTTCAGGAACGTTTTTAAAACTAAAAAAAAAAATAATAATAAATACATTCGCAGTGTATGTATTTTGATTTATTTTGTATAGCTAAAATTTGTATTAGTTTGTATAAATTACCGTTTGTAACAAAATTACCTTCCGAAATGGCCGTTCCCGAAATGATGATGCCGCCATCAATATTTACACGTACCTGTATTGCAAAATTTTTTAATACTTAAGGTGTTCAAAGAAAATTTCTCTTCACTTGTGGACGGTTACACTGGACCCCAAAATTGTGTTTTTTGTTCACCAGATACCACCATTGAATTCCTATGTTGAATCGCTCGCTGACTAAATTTTTTCTATGAATAATTTTTCAAAGACAAAAAAGTGGTTTCACTTAATCGCGTACATCTTACGAAGAAATTGAAGAATCTTTATAGATTCCGAGAAATTAATAAATTATTCGAGATTTTTTTTTTTTTTTTTTTGACTAACATAGGGTTAGGGCTCGCTAACCGCCAAAATAACTCAAGCGAAATTTGTTTCAAATATTTTTTTTTGATGCAGAAATATTCTTAAAAAAATCCATGTCTAAATAAAAATATAATGAGTGGTCAAATGAAAATGCGCAAAGATTATTTTGTATGTACATACATGGCGTATGCGTAACATTGTTTACTGCTCATATTTCAACCACTTTTTGTTTTAGCTGAATTACGGTAAGTTGAAAATAGCTCGAAAACTTTACCATAGAGAAAAAACTCGATTTTCGGAATCAGCGAGCAATTCTACATAGGAATTCGACAGTGGCATCCAGTATAGTACCTCTTTCTACTTGTTTTCGTGCATTCTGCTTGTTAACATTTATTTTGCAATTTTGGAAAATTTGATCACCAAAAATTGTCACCCAAACCAGAGTGCGACGAATGCGAAGACGGTTTAAAAATTGAGAGGACTTTTTTTGCAAATGCACCTCTTCGTTTCACCTTTACTATCTTAAAGTACTGTTTTTTATTTATTTATTTATTTATTTATTTATTTATTTTTAGTCTACAGAAAAATGTTTTCTTACAGACAGTTGAGATAAAAAGATTTAGAATATTTAAGTATGTGTGATACATTACAGAGTGAAATAATTATAAATATTAACTTGTAAAGATAACAATGATATTCAATAGCAATTTGGGTAGCTGGCGAGGCCTTGTCTCCAGTCTACTTTTGTGTGCGGCGGGCGGAAAGACCTAGTTTCCGCTCCGCCCTGTTTACAGGCCGTTGATCATGGTCGGAAAGGCCGAGCTTCCGATCCATGTTCCCGTAGTCGTTACTTTGTAAGTGAGGCAGGCGGAAAGTCCTAGTTTCCGCTCCACGCTATAGACGAACTGTTGGGCGAGGTCGGAAAGGCCGAGTTTCCGATCCCTGCTCCTATTGTCCTACGCGGTCGCGGAAATATACGAAGCCGTTACAATTGTACTAAGCAGTCAAAGATATTGTGTAATTTTTTCGTTCACGGTTGCAGATATTAGTTTATTTAGTTAACTTGTTGAGCAATGTTTTCTTTATTACAAAAAGCGATTCAGATATGTCGATGCAATCATAATGCTTGTTAAAATCTTGGCATAAACACCGAAAAGCATCATGCATTTCAAAGTTTGATTTACAAATACTCAACACAATAGGTTTAAAATGTCTCGTGGGTCTTGTAGGAATACAAAAGTTTATCTCACTCAGTAAAAAGGGACTACTGACCATCCCGTTCATTAATTTAATTAAAAAAAGAACACCAAGCATCTCTCTACGACTCTGAAGCGTCGGCAAATCTATAAGCTTCAGGCGATCCTTGTAGGGTGGGAGATTTTTAGACGAGTCCCAACATAAATTTTTGAGGGCAAATAACAGGAACTGTTTCTGCACTGATTCGAGCCTGTCACTATGAATTTGATAGCTAGGATTCCATACTATAGATGCATACTCCAAAATCGGTCTAACTAGAGAGGTAAAGAGAACTTTAGTGACATAAGGATCGTTGAACTCCTTGGCCCAGCGCTTAAGAAAAGCCAACAATCCTCTAGCCCTAATCACGCAGGAGTTTATGTGAGACTTGAATTCTAGTTTCGGATCCATAGTTACACCAAGGTCAATGAAATTGGTCACTTGCTCAACATTGTGGTCAGATATCATATACGAATTTGGATAGAACGATTTTCTAGAGAAGGTCATGAATTTACACTTTTTCAAATTTAGTGACATGGAATTTGCTTCACACCATTCGAAAATGCAGGTTAGGTCAGCTTGCAAATGCTCCCTATCTTCTGCAGTACTAATGTACTTAAAGAGCTTAACATCATCAGCGTACATTAAGCATTTCGAGTAATTCAACACCTTAGGAAGGTCATTTATAAATAAAATAAACAAGACGGGACCAATATGGCTGCCCTGAGGTACGCCGGATGTGACATGTATTGGCCGGGAGGTACAATTTTTAAAAATTACTCTTTGTTTCCTATCCACTAAGTAAGAAGAAAGCCAGCTGAGAAGAATAGGAGGGAAGCCAATTCGATCAAGTTTATATAAAAGGGTTGAATGAGATACCTTGTCAAATGCCTTGCTGAAATCAGTGTAAATCACGTCCGTTCGAAGATTGTTTTTAAACCCATTAGACACATAAGTAGTGAATTCAAGAAGATTGGATACAGTTGATTTACCTTTGCAAAAACCGTGTTGCGATAGATCAATAGCAGAAGTAATAGAGTGAGATAGTTCTTCCGTAACGATTGCCTCAAAAACTTTAGCAATAGCACAAAGCTTCGCAATTCCTCTATAGTTTACGATGTTAGTCCTACTTCCATTTTTATAAAGTGGCAAGATAAACGAATCCTTCCAGGAAGATGGGAAGACACCCTGTTTTAGGGAAGCATTAAAAATATTTGCCAGAGGCTTATACAAATACTCTGCACAACTTTTAAGAACACTTGTGGGTATACCGTCTGGGCCAGCTGTATATGAAATTTTCAAACAATTCAAATGAATGAGGACGTCCGCAGCAGATATCGATGGAA